CTTTTAAAATTAATTGTTCAAGTGAAACATATTCCCTAAAATTCAGAAAAATATAAAAAGTTCTCATGTAGGGTCGGTTACACAGGATGGCATTTGAGCTGACGATAAGATTTTTGCCCTTTCCCTGACTTTCATCTCATTGTCAGTATACTCTGAATAAAACGAATTTTAAAAACTGTTCGAGTGGAAGTATTTCATATTAATATGATATTGTGGTGTACACTAGTTCTGTAGGTCTCACACACAAAGGACACTATTACTTTGAAGGGACAACATGGGTAAGTAAGGTTTTCGGTTTTGGAAAGCGGATGTTGTGGTAAAAAGTCAGTCTTGCTTTAAGTGGAGTCAAATAAATGAAGAGAGACGCAAGCTCATCTCTTGTCTCTTTTTATCAGCTTCCACAATATATTAATAATTAAAAAAGAATGTAATTGTCACCATCAAATTTGCTGTCCAACAAAAGTGTCACTACTTTGCAGAATTACATCTTTGCTGGGTACTGGTGGTTTACTTAGAGATATGTCTATATTCTAGACTTAGTCATTCATTGAGAGTGCATATCTGAGTTTGAACAGTGTGTGTTTATGTGCTCTTGTGCAGATATTAGGGTTTCCCAAATAATTATCATGTGCATGAATGTCACATTTTTGACGTTCCTGGTTTCCAGTAGTCTAAATTGTCAGGACAGCATTTCCTGGGCTGATTCTGCACATGGTTGTACACGGCTATGGACCTTTAAAATTTCTAAACAGTACTTTGGGAAGAATTAAAACGTATCCATTACATCCCCTTCCTACAATCAAATGGTCATTTTTTGACAGGCACAACAGGTAAAAGGTTATGAAACCAATGTAAAAGAATCATGGATGAACTTACAGCTGCCACAGTCAGCATGTCAAACACTTTTGTGCAGTACCGCCAGGCATTTGCGTTTCCATATTTTGTTTGACACTCATCTAGAAACAAGCAGAAAAAATGGCAATGTGGCATGAGCTTGGTAAAGAGACAGAAACATTAGCAGACATTTATAGTGACGGTAAAGTACGTACCATAAAAGCCGTACACTTGTGTTATCTGCCTGCTTTCGTGGTTTCCTCGTAGAAGTGTGATGCGATCAGGCCACTTTGCTTTTAAAGCTAACAGGTGTGTAAACGTCTCCAAGCTATAATATCCTCTGTCTACAAAATCTCCCTTGAGGAAGGAAAAGATGACATATTTAAAGAATGAAACATTAGAGAGCCTTCTGAAAACAGTGCATCTTCATGTATGAACAACCTGAGTACTGATACTTTAGCTTCTTTCAAATGTATACTCAATCGTGCAAAACAATATTTGTGGGTGTGCAAAACTATAGGCTCAAGGTGGCCATAACGTGGGGAAGCGTGGTTTGCAAGAAGATATGTTTGTCTGTTAAAGAATCAGCTGTGGATAATCAAAGCAAGAGAGCTGACTAAATGTTCAGATATTTATTTGAGATGAACAAACAGTCAACCTTAATCCAAAAAAAAATTGCACACTTCATTTCACATCTATGGTTGGTGAGCGTTTTAGCCATGCTAGGAGCAGCCTTTGGTCTATTCTGGTATATTTACCTCAACTACAACTTAGGTAAAGAATTAAAGCATTTACTTACCATGAAAATGTAATTAGTGTCTGGAACCTGGCCTCCAGTTCTGAAGAGCTCACAAAGATCATAAAACTAAACAGGAAGATTGAAAATGACTCATTATTCTTGATCATTACTTTTTTATGAACATAAACAATCACAGGTCAAAAGTGGCTCAGTATGAGCAGTGTGATAAACACTTATTAAACCCACTGTGTATTTTATACACTCTTATCTGTGAGAATATAGCAAGAGATCAGTAACAAGAATTGAAGCCAAGGCAGAGTAAAAGTGGGACTGAGACCACTTATCACTTATGCAATGAATTTTAAAGGTAGCACAGTTTATATTAGTTTTTAAAGACCCCCTGCTGTCGAAATCAACTTGTTGTTTTTTTTACTTGCTAACCTGCCCATCCTGTGTTTTTTAAATGTTGGAGTGAAATAAGCAGTCGACACTATATGACTCACCTTTGACTGTCTCAAAAACACAGATTCAGACTTTGGGGTTTTCATACATAAACTTAAGAATTCTGTCAACTTACAAGATAGAGCTTTCTTTATCATTATTTTTCTTTAGAATCGGTTTCCAGTCAACCATGTATGGCTGAACTATTCTGACACTGCAACTTATCATTGTGTAGAGAAGAGTAGTTTAACAGTGTACAGTTTTTGCATTGCTTCAGCAGACTTGTAGGTGAGCTTGAGTGCTCAAGCTGCAGAGACTGGCAGAGTGGTGGAGTGGAGATTAAGGGAGGTACTTCATAGATCCACAGATTCTAGAATAAGCAACAGTGTAGAGGTACAGCTAAGACGTTTTAAGGCAGGAAGGGATTATATTAATATAAAAACTCACTTCTTCCTAACTTATAAATATGTAACTTTGATACACACAGGTTTGCTTTGTGGTATTAACTCAACGACTGGAGAGGGACTTTAATGCTTATATTGTTTGTGCTATTTATGAATGCAATGACATCCAGACACTGTTTGATCCCAGCCATTAATATGCGTTCACTTTTTTATTTAAGCAACAGTTTTTTTAAAAAGTGACACTATTTTTAACAGGACACTTTTGGTAAAACCTAAGGCTAATTAATTATCTTTGTGGGCATTAGATTAAGAAAGTCAGACTTACTTGACCATGAATATCTCCACATACAGTAACTGGAGTAGCAACCGGCTGAACATTTGATTCTTCCAGCAGCAAATCACAAACATAATCACATAGTCTCTAAAAAAAAAAAGAAAAAAGGAGGAAAAGATGACAATAATGAGTGGTTACAACTATCCGGTTAAAACACATCATCACAAAACCAGATCACTGAAAGCGTACTAGGTAAACATTTTACTCTATCCATTTTTGTTTTTTTTTTTTAGCTTTTTCTCAAATAAGTTTATTTTCATTTTTAAAGCAAATGTATATCAGAAGACTAATGCATCAACCTTTAAAATATACAATATGTCAGTGTGACGGACTCAAGTATACCTTTTAGTTTATTACTTCAAACACACTTTGCTAATACTTTCACTTCCATAGGAGTTTTCATGCAGGATTTCAGTTCATAATGGGTCTTTTCTACATTGCTGCACTGATACTTTTAGTCAAGTAAAGGATCTGAATACCTTTTACAATAAGTGGATTCCAAACTACTTCACACTGATTAGGTGCTTTAGCTTTTCTAAGAACATTACAGAAACATGAAGCCACTTAATTGGGGCGGCAACTGATTTTTGCCTGCAGGGGGGAAAAAAATCAAAATCTTCTCTCTGACTAACATGTTGGTCAGAGATGATGTGAAAATCAAACGCACACTTGGCTCTGGGTGTTTGTAGCAGGTTCTGGTTTCAACAGTAAACAGTATTGCGTAATCATTTGCCCCCCCCAAACAACCTTTACGTAACATTTAAGTGGCAGGTATTTGAATATATTAACACCGCTACCTATAGTGAGAGAAGATACAACTACCAACACCCTACCGATGAACGCGCTGCCGTGGTTTCCGTATTTCCCACCATTACTAACTGGTAGCTAGCAGCCCTGAGCTTCCTATTTGACTTTACTGTTCGCACTGGCGTTTTCAGGCGAGTTTGTTAGCTCGTTATAATCTGGCATAACAGTAAAAAAGTGCCCCAAAATAATACTAACTCTTAAAGCTTCCGAGTAGTGTATGTTAAAGTTACTAGTCACGCTTGTTGAACAAACTTCGCATATTAAACCCGCTAGCCTCCACTGGTATTATTAAACCTTATCTTAGGTCAAATTCAGCAGCTTAGACTCACCTTTAGATCATTTTCCGGCAGATATTTGCAATGTCTTGCTATTTCAACGTACTTATCAAGGTCTAAAGGCGCCATTATCAAAAGCAGAAGATTGCTAAGGCAGTTAGCAAGCTAGGAGGTTCCTTTTCTTCTTCCTCTTCTCTTCAGCGCTCCTTCATTTTCAACTTTCGGCACATCGTCAAGTCGCCGACAGCGAACCTGAACACAACCTGTGCAAACCTTCAAAATAAAACATCTTCACCGGCGAGACAATCTCCTGGCGACAATGACTACCAAAATTAAATCAAAGACGATTTTAAGTAAGGAAATAATAATGGATTTAACACAGCTGCTCATTCTGGGAGATGTTCAATAGATTCTAGTGGCTGTTATTTCACCTTTATTTTGAAGGTGATATTTGAAAAGCATTAACTTCGGCCAACTTGACGTTTCGTTCGTGTCGTCGGTTGTGCAGCGTTCACGTAACATCGCCCCCTGCCGGTACAGAGATTGTCTCCTCCACAGTACACACGGAGAAAGACAGGCTCTTCCAAACTGATGTGTATTTGTTTGTTTCTATGTTTAAATTATTAATTTGATTCTTTTTATGTAGTTATGCCGCTTGTATAGTGCAAACAGGGAGAAACAGGGAAAATCTGCTCCCGCCTGCAATTCATTGTCAAGATCCTTTCATAGTAGTAATAACAGCAGAGGGCAAGCCAGACTAAGAAACACAGAGCTCAGGGTCTGACACAGTTGCCACCCATTGAACTGAACTTCTGGGGTTTTTTTTTTTAACTCTCTCGGTTCTGAAATTTAAGAGCAAGTTTGCATACAGTGCGCAACATAATTGAAATACTTTTCATTATAACAGTGCACAATAACAAAGCTATCACTACCTACAGCTTATCTATTATAACCGAGTTGTGATTTGAATATATGACACACTGTCAACAAACACTGAATATTATAACCTTCATTAAAAAAATATTTGTTGGACTGATTGTACAGTAGCCCAGTATGTAGCTGTTAACTGGTACCTTTTAGTATATTGAACTTGTAAACTTACCTGGTTTACATTTTTACTGGTACAGTTCTGTCAACATGAGCATAAATGCAACCACTTTGACAATTCACCCATAAGTGTGCCACATTAACCTTCAGTGTGTAAATTAGCAAAGCTCAGAAGTTGCTGGTGCAAAGTGAACTTGTCATCGAGCTCCAACACGACCCAGTAATTAGACAGTGTTGTCACTCCGTCTGAGGAGTTTCCAAACTCAGACGTCCAACTGTCAGCGCACAAAGCCAGTGCATGATGAACAGTTTCTGTTATCCAGCATGAACTTGCATCTACCAGCCAGACATTCCCAGTCCTGTCACACAGAAGCTGTCTCACATGAGGAACCTGCAGGCTGTTTCTTCCAGACAGGACAGCTGCTGCTCTTATTTTCCTGCCCATGCAAAAGCGATGCACAGACTGTCAAAGATGAGCAACACATCACTCGAGGAAACCTGGAAAGAAGACAGAGGATCCCAAGATAGTTCTCCTCTCAACAGCTGAGAGAGCACTTCAGACAACTGAAAACAGAAGGTGGTAAGAAGAAAAATCATGGAAGACCAAACCCCTTCATAGTGTAACAGAAAGGAGAAAGAAAATTAACAGAGAAACCCTTTTTCTTAACTAAGAAAGGCAGCATGGAGGAAAACAGAGTGAGAAGAGAGAGTTGAAAAAAGGGATCTCTGGAAGACTAATTGCCTTTCTGCTCATCTTTCCTTTAACCCTGTAAAGCCTGAACCATGAAATAATTACCAGAAAGTTCTAATTTTTTGAAACTGAAGTATTTATTGAACCTTCTGACAAAAACAATAAAAAAATCAATTTGCATAAATTAATATTAATTCGTATTCTGTTTGCTACATCCAGCATTTTTGTTGCATGAACTACGATCTATGCAGGATAATCTGTGCACTGCATGTGACTGTATAGGCTACATCAGGTTTTTCATGAAAACATATCACACTGATGATAGAGAGGTCTCAAAAACTCATGTGTCAAATATGATACGCTTTGCTTTACAGTGTTAAAATTGTGGCATGTTAAATCAAACCAAGTGTCTTTGGAACCAAGAACCAGCTGGGCTCAATAAGGAACTTCTGACTATGAAGTGATTTCAGAGCAGGATTGGATATAACTCGCTCCACCACCGCTGTGTCCTGCTCAGACTGGTGCCGGAAGTCTGTGTCTTTGCTGGACCCTTTAAGATATGACTCCAGGTTTATCCGCTTCTCTTGCCTCAGTTTATGGCGAACTCTCCCTCCTGCTCATTGCTTCTTACCCTCCCTGGCCCTTTAAAAAAACACACCCACATTTCTCTGAACTGTGCTGAACTGAAAGGTGTGGAAATGAGATGTGCTGAAATGAACTACAGTCATTTTACCTTCTGTGAACCTGTTCACACCCAGTCTCATAAACAGAAATGATCTGAAGGCTTTTTGTCATCTAGTTAATGTGACCTACTTAGCTGATTATCCTTATCAGGATGCTGAAATAGATTGACTGACTTTGAATTTAGGTTCTGTTAACTTAATGGACCTTTGTGTATGAGATATTTTTGTATTTAGTTATTAATTGAGTTGTAAAATTAAATAATGAAATTGACCGTATGGCTGTTTTTCTTTGTTTGTTTTGTTTTCATTTTTATTGTATTTTATCTTGTGTGGTTTTGTGGTACAAGAGATAAGTTAACGTGTTCTTTTAAAGTGAAAGATGGAGGATAGCCTCTGGAAGAAGTTCTCCTTTGCACTCTTGCACAAGTTTTTCAAGTCTGCTAGGTTATTCCAAAAAATTTGCTTTATTATTTCCCATTTCATGGTGGATGCTTGCACCTCTTTGTAATCGTTTCTGTCTTGTAATTATCTTGCATTTCTTTGTCGTTGTTTCTGTTTCTTTGTAGTCATTTTACATCTCATTGTTTTTTGTCTTTTTGTGACTGTTTTGTATCTCTTTATTGTTGTTTCTGTCTCTGTGTAGTCATTTTGCATCTCTTTGTAGTTTTTCTGTCTTCCTGTAGTCATTTTGTATTTCTTTTTGCTTATTTTCAATCTCTTTGTCTCCATTTTGTATCTCTTAGGGGTTGTTTTCTGCTTCTTTGAAGTCATTTTGTGTCTCTTTATGCTTGTTTTCTGTATCTTTGTAGTCATTGAGTATCTCTGTAGGTTTTTTCTGTCTTTCTGTCGTCATTTTGCATCTCTTTGTAGTCATTTTCTGTCTCTTTGTTGTCATTTTGCATCTCTTTGTAGTCATTTTCTGTCTCTTTGTAGTCATTTTGCATCTCTTTGTAGTCATTTTGCATCTCTTTGTGGTCATTTTCTGTCTCTTTGTTGGCATTTTGCATCTCTTGTAGTTTTTTTTGACTCTGTGTGATAATTTCACATCCCTTTGTAGTTATTTTCTGTCTCTTTGTAGTTAATTTTGTCTCATTCATTGTGCAGATTGTCTCCTTCTGTTTTCACAGACCCAGCCATCTCTCAGTAATCCTTCCATGCTGCTTAGTGGGGCTTTAGATTCTTGTGAAGATATGACTCAACATCTGGCTTCATATAGAGCCAGTATAAACAGCTGTCACCTTACAATCACAGAACCATTAAGAAAAAGTAATAAAGAAATAGAACATAAAGCTGTATTCTGCTGTAACTAATCCCACCCTTCAAAGGCAGCCGAACAGCTCCTTAACTCTTATGTTATGTTATGTTCTGGTCAAATTTGACCAATTTAAAAGTTTTATCTCTGAAAAATTTTGTAAATTTGATCCGACTGACCTGAGATTCCACGATTTTGTCCACAAAGAGGATTTCAACACAGTTTTTTGTGTTTTATTGAACTTTTGTACACTCTTGGTGTTATTGGTCAAAAATGACCAGTCATTAGAAATGAATGGGGGAGATTACAATTAGTGTGACAACGGTACTCAGGTACGTCCTCATTTGTCAGATGCACACACACACACGCACACACACTTTAGGTTCCCTGGCAACCACACACAGTAGAGTCTCTCACCCACAGGGACAACACCTGTTGGCAGGTCTCACCTACAGTTGCAACATAGTTTCAATAATATTAACTTTTCCGTTAGCTTTGTGTGGATGGAGGTGAATCCAGGATGGAAGCAGAGAAATTTTTCAAGAGGAGCCAATTCCTGGAGGAGTTGGGAAAAAGCCATGCTGGCACCCCACATTTAACCAGAAAAACTTGATTTTCTTAGAAGTTTTCTCGCCCCCCTCTCCCCCTTTTTTTTTTCTGGCTATCAGGCATAAACACGTCTGACAGACTGATGAACATCCATCCATCATCCATACATAGTGGGCGGAGTCTAATCCAGAAGACTCAGGGTGGTTGAAATGTTTTCAAAAACAAATGTCCTTGGAAACTTTGACCCAAAGTAGTCTGTGGTAAACAGTATACTATGTTACATCTGATTAATTCTTATAGTCAACATAATCCAGAAATTATGGTTTTTAGAACTCAAATTCAAGATGTGTAAGATCAGATATATGAGGCATACAAGCCATAAAACATAAAAATAGAAGTTCAAAACTTGTAAAGTTGACAAGAACTTGAGTTGATAAAAAAAAAAATCGAACACAACAAATACTGATAACATATGCATTATTACAGTTTTTATGATGAGTCTAAATGGGAACACAACATTGTTAAACATGAACTGAACACAACATGAGGGTTCATGTTGTGTCACTCATTCCTTAGCTCATATGTGTATAATCTGCTTTAATCAGTTTGCAGTTTGAAGTTATTTTTTTATTACCTGTTGCGGCTATTCCTTGGGAGTAAAGGGGTTAAATCACGTGTGTTGGGGTTGAGCTCCCGGGAGCTTGTAAAAAGTGTCATCTGAAGAGGACAAAGAAAGCGGCGGCAGCTATATAATAGCCGCGCAGGACCGGCGCGCTGCACTCAGAGCCTCCTCCGCCGCTCCGCACCTTCATCGTCTCTGCTCTCTGTGGGACAACATTATGCGGGCTGTCGTGTTTTACGGCAGCATCTTGCCATTGCACCTTTTCCTCTGCGTTCATTCTTTGCCGGTGCACGACCGGAGGACCGGGAAGCAGCTGCAGGTGAGTGGAACACGGATCTATCAGTCAGAGGTGTGACAAAGTGAGAGGAAGTTCTCCTCAGAGCCGAGCAGTGAGGGACTATAGAGGATGCTGAGTGTGACAAAGAGATAGACAGAGGCCCTGTGATGCACAAAGAACTTATATTTATGACACTAAATGTAGGTCAGGCCAGTAGTTAAGTAAGCCATTGCATGTTTGTAGTCTTTCTGTTGTTAAAACTTGAACACTTTGAATGCATTTGTTCTGCAGCACACTTTCTGGCTGTCATTAAACATGACTTGGTGAAAGTGGGTTAACTCATCAGCAGCCCAGATTTGAAGCTGATGGTGTGAAATAGCTGAGAGCTGAAATCACTCTGACCTGTAGTTTTAACATCTTCAGTGTATGCTTTGGAAACTATTTGTTATTTTGGATTCCGACGTTCATTTTCTGGCACTAGTGCAGTTTGAGTGTAGTCACCGTACTTTATGCTCAATTAGGACAACATTTGTTTCAAACTTTCTGCAGCTTGATGGATGCCAGACCTACTTTCCGGTGAGTGAGAGAGTCAGATTGTGCAGGCAGAGGCAAGTCATATGGCAGCTGGTGGAGGCTCAAAGCGCTGCTCATTTGCTGACTCAGGGAAAAGGAGAAAACATCAGATAGCTCCTTAGACCGAGTCACATCAGGCCAACAGACAGTGATTGACTGAACAACCCTTTACCAAGGCTTTCGTTTGTACGCTGAGAGTCTGCAGACGACAGCCAGCCCTGACAAACAGGACGACACTGCAGCAGAGGCAGGCATCACTGTTCATCATACCATGCTGCATATTTTAGTGCTTAACCCTAATAACTAAATCTGACCTGCTGCTGACAGATTAATCTTCCCAATATGCTGTCAAGCCCTGGCAGTGTGTTGTGTGTGAGTAGTAAGCCATCCCATAAGACACCTCTTGACTCACAATAAAAGATGTTTGCACTTTGCTATTTAGCTATATAGGAATTTGTTTATGGGCACATTCACCAGTCAGTGGTTCAAACTTTAACACATTTAGTCAAGTCCTGTCGTTTAACAGTTTTGCTGTGAAGTGCATGTCATTTCCATTTTTGCTGCTTTATGCTTAAACTGTATTACATTTCAGAGGGAAATGTGTTTTGTTGTGTTAGGCTACATTTATTTTACAGCTGTTATAGTTACTTTTCACTTTAAAATGTTATATAAAGACCTTTACATTGCTAATGTAGACAAGCTGACTCACCCGAAAATTGAAGTAATCTGAGAAACTGATTTGTTAAAGTAACATTGACTTGAATGTTAATAGTTCAGTATACTAAAAGCCAGTATATTTGGATTTGAGTCTGCAGTGAAATCAGCTCTTTCCCCAACTATCCACTAAGCATCTAATATTATGTTCAATCCGATTCAGTTTTATTCATATAGTGCCAATTCACAAGATCAGTCATCTCTGGGCACTACATGTAGTAAGGGTAAGACAAGACAATGTTATGGTGTAAGAGAGAACCCCAACAAATCCATACAACTCAATCTGAGCAGCTCTTTTGAGAAGATGAGAAAACTTCCTTTTAACATGGAAGAAACCTTCAGCAGAACCAGGGCCATCGTCTGCCCAACCAGTTGGGTTTAGGGTAAAGGGGAGAGAGAAGAGGATCAGAAAAGGAAACTGACAAACAATTCATCAAAGAACAGTAAAAATTGCTGAGGCCAGAAATCACAGATCAGCAGCAGTCTACCCTGGAGCCACAGATACCTGCAGAGAGGAAAAACAAACTATGGGAGAGAGCACAAGAGTAACGTTTGTCTCAGAGAGTCTGCATAAACCCTCGGTGAACATCCAGCCCAAAATTTGTGTCCACACGTACGCTACAAGGACAGTAAGTGCACCTGCATAGAATGTGTACATGCCTCCCAAAATAAAAGTAGTGTCACTAATAAAGATATGTATAAATAAATATATTAAAATACTTTTACTTCAAGAACAAACCTAAGGCAGCCCAGCTCTACATGTGGAAGTTGATCTAAGGTACTCATTACCAAAAAAAGTTTCGATCCAAATACATACATTTCCATCAGTTATTAGAACTACAACTTAGTTGTTTGACTTATTAAATGTGAATGAAATATTACCAAAATTGTTAAGTTTGTTTTATTCACAACCCAAAGATATCTGAAAAACATTAAAAACCCATTCATCAGTAAGGGTCAGGAAAACAAACCTTTTATTAACAAAGACATAACAAATTAAGTCATTTAAACTCGTAAATGTAATGGTACTGGTGTTTACATGAGAAGTTTTAAAGCATCAAAATTAGGGACTGATATGTTCTTTGGGACCTATACTGATTATTATCAATCAAAGTAAAAATTTAAATCCTGGGGCCTCATTTATCATCAGTGCGTACACACAGATGTGTGCGTGGTGAGTGCGTACAAACATTCCCACGCAAAGTATTCAATTTCTCAACTTGTACTTATACTTAGGAATGTGCGTAAATATAAGCACAAATCTGACCATGCTTATGCACATAATATAGCAGTAGAATAGAAAAACTACAAATAGAAAACACTAAGGGATTTTGACCACCGGCACATTCCAGCGTGAGGTTCGAGACACATGCTGCATTTCCAGCCATCACTGAGCCGGATCAAGCCGGCAGCGTTGAATGTCGTAACTCCCCTGGTTCGTGCTTACATCCAGTTCCCTTACAGGCATCACCAACGAGCCCAAATCAAATGGGGACTTCACGCCATCACTGGATTCCCAAACATAAGTAGAGCCACAGACTGCACCCACTTTGCATTCAAAGCAGCATCACTAAACACATTTAATTATGTAATCAACATACAAATTATTTGCGATGCACATTTGTCACTATCCAACATTGTTGCCCGGTGGTCTGGAGGAACGCATGACTCATTCCTTGAGCAGAACAACTCTGTGGGTGTGTGTCACCAAGCAGGAGCTGTTGAAGATGGCTGGCTTATTGGTGAGTGTCACAGAGTGTGGAAATGTTTTATCTGGACTTAGTATGGTTATTAAAACGCATCTCATCTGTAGTGATCAGGGTTATCCACTGGGTGAACGTTGGATATTCATTCGTCCTCCTCCAGTCATTTCTCTTTTCTGGGTTGTGACGTGTTTTTTGGCACTGAGCTTAACATCAAACCACTTTTAAAAAATCTATCTTGTCCCGTGCAGTGTTTTTTCTTTTGTTGCTCATCCGAACATTTCACGCACCAAACAGTTGTCACTGGTTATCTTCAACCTCGCTCACAAGTAATTCAATTTTGGTTTCTGAAAAGTTCCTCTTTGTCGCCCTCTTTGCCATGATGATGAACAGTGAGGGGAAAAAAAATATTCCCTTGTTTTATAAAGAGGCGTGTTGTTACCATATATGGTTAATTGGAGGTGTTTCTGAAGGCAAATGATCCCAAAAGTGCACAAGCATGGTGGTTAAGAACCAGCGTGATTTAACAACACTGATGACTTACTGATGTGCATGTACGCATGTTTGATAAGTACTTTTTTTTTTTTTTTACTTATGCACATTCTAAATTTCATTCGTAAGACAGAATATAGAACCTTTTTCTATGCCCCTGATGTCAAAATGTAAAATAACTAAATCATACTCCAAACTTTGTCGAAACACTATTTGTCCCAAAAGGCCCAAAACAGTGATGGAAGAAAGAGATTAAAATGTTTTTGATGTCTTTGCAGTTGTTTTTGAACTTCAGCTCTCTGCTGAGCTCCCACCAGATGCCCAACTCTTCACCCTGTCTTTAAGGTTGAATTCAGCCACCATATAGAGGACTCTCATTTCGGCTGTTTGTCTCTACAATCTTATTCATTCAATAACTCCCCAGAGCTCACGACCATAGGTGAAGGAAGAAATGTAATCGACTAGCAAACAGAGAGCTTAGTCTACTTCCTCAGCTCCCTTTTCACCATGGCGCTTCAGTACAATGCCTGCATTACTGCTGACGCTGCACCAATCCATCTGTCCATCTTATGCTCCATTTTCCCATCACTTGTGAGATTTCAAGATAACCCAGAGGGAGCAATCCACAGGTTTCCCATCAGAGAACCATGACCTTGGATTTGCTAAGCTTCTTAGTGGGCTGCAAACCTCCCAGTGCTTGCTGAAGGTCACTTTCTAATGACGGCTACAGAACCAAATCATCTGCAAAAACCAGAAACGTTACTTGAATGTTTCCAAACCGGACAGCCTTCTCACCTCAGCTGTGTTTTGAAATCTTGTCTTTAACTGTTACAAACAGGATCGAAGACAAGGAGCAATCTTAGTCCAACACCCACTGGAAACGTGCTCTGACTTTTATTAGCTCTCTGTAATATCTGAATGTGTTGTTGTGGTTGGTTAGGTTTTGTAGGCAGATTTACTATGCAAGCTTCTATGTTGAATGCCAATAGTTTCTGCTTAGGACAGAGAGGGGAGAGCTACAGGAGAAGGACTATCATTTCAAATTCTTGTACATTTAGCCTTATCCACATTTGTATATAACACACCGTTACCCTACATTGCAAATCGTCATTAGTTGCAGCTTTCACACTGACCGTGTTAAAGACAGACGAAACTACCTAACTGTATATAAAGTAGTTAAAAACCACATCCACCAGCTGCAACTGTAAACTGCTACTTACACAGTGATGAATCAGAATGAACAATGCTAGCATTGTTTCTACATATCAAGTAAGTTTACTTTTGATGTTAACTACACCATTCTGACAGTCATTTTGATGTATTTTATGTTGTAGGATTTTAAACGTTTGAGTTTTACTTGCAATAAAGTAGTTTTCATTGTGGTATTGGCACTACTTACGTAACAGATGTGGATGTTTTCAGCAGTGTCAGCTTTAGCTTTCACAGGTGTGTTTTATGTAGAGACGTTAAAGTTGCTTTTTAGGAAGCTTGTTGCCTGAATGTTAAATCAGAGATGTTTACAGCCTCTCATCTCCATTCATGCTGATCCTCTTAATCCTG